CTCAGCTGAAATTCCCTATCCTGATCGGCTAGCAGGGAATACGTTAGGCTAACCGGGCATACTGCTCGAAGTAGACGCATCGATCGTCATAAGTGAATTCGTCCGTCGGATATAACCAGAGAGACGTACTTGGAATACTTGGTGGCTCTAAGAATTTTGAGAGGACGTCTCATGAATGCAAATTAAAACGTTTACCCGTTCTCCCGTGGCACGGATCTTTCCTCCTTACCGTTACTTCATTCGTCTTATATACAGGGTGTTCTAACAACTTTCATTACCCAAATTATTTCCATTGTTTCCAGATGTAAATCATTAAGTATTGTATCTCATTATTTTCTAATATAATTTGACCTAACACAGAAATTAAAATGTTAGAATGATCAAAATGATTAGAACACCGTGTATATAAATAAGGTTAGGGTATTAATAAACACTTAAATAATGAATATGAGGTAAAAAGTCCCTTTGCTGAATATTCTTTTATCTTTGAATTTACTCGACCCGCAGGTTTTCTCGTTTTGGACGAACGTCGAAAGGGAATGAAAAAATCACGGATCACACGATTACTCCACTGCCAAATGTACGATTATTTTAATTAGGAGCCACTCGTCGTTGCTCGACGGTTCCTTGCGTTCTTATTTTTTTTTCGCCTCGAAATATAAACCCGGCTCATTAATTTCCCTAGGCAGACTTGTATTGTACCGTTTTAACGAACTGCTCGACAGCAGGAAAGCTCGTGTTTGTTGACCACTGTGGTCGCATTGCCCGTTTTTCGCTTACATAATCCCCCATTTCCGTGGAAATTGGCCGCTAACGAAGCGAAACGGCACCGTAATCGCCAGCCAAGTCCGCCAGCGTACTAACCTAGTTATCGAAGAATTTACGAACCCAAGTAAAAATATCCCTGTTTATTTCCTAACCGGTTTTCCAAGAAAGAAAATGCATGGCTCGAGACAAGGAACCAGAGTGACGTTGAATAAGGTCCATTTTAGAGACTATTTTTCAACCTTTGAAGCCCGGAGTTTGCTTTAAGAATTTTATACACTGGGAAATAATATTTAAAGGAGAGGTGTAAAATTAAAAAAAATAACATAAAGTAAAAGCAGAGGAGAAATGCTATTTTTATAAAACGCAAGTTTATGAAATTAAATTAAACTTCTGTCTCTTTCTATGGTCCGCCGTTCGAGGGTTAATTTAAAATATTTTTACAGTGAATGTTGGTTTTAACAAGTTATCACTTGGAACGTGATAATTCTAACTTGTGAAGTGAACTAAAAATTTCTATTCACAGAATGATTGATTTATTCCAAGTGAAAAATTCTTAAAGCATAACATTGTTATTCAAAGTGTCAGAAATGTAGGGTCTCTACAAAGGATAAAACATCGGTGGCAATCACTGTAAAGAGAAACAGACGCGAAATACGAGCGATACTTTCGATATGCTAATAATCTCGATACCCGGCTATGGTGATAGCACTGTGATCCAAAACACTCGTGCAACATTCATGAGAACCATCCTACGTATCACTTCACCTTTTCAGTTTTCCGTGTAGTAAATCCTTGTCATATCGTATCTCCCGGCTTTCAAGCATTAAAGAACCTACCTTGCGACCGTTTCTTTAAAAGTGTGATTTTTCTTGCGCTGATTTACGAACGCGTACCTTACGCCACGGGAAGGCATTAATACAGAACTCTAAAACAGATATATGGAGGGGACAAATTGAGAGGAGTAACGATATGAAGGATCGGATCTTATGGAAAAATATGTATCAGCATAATGTAGTGCGAATACATTAAATGCAAAAGAGGAACAGATGTGATGCTAATTACCTTAATGTTATCTTTTGAAAGGTTTCGATTGAAATGCAGATTTGCCAGTGGAAGATTGGAGATTTTGATAAATCCGGTAAATAGAATTATTCAAACGTGTAAAATTTCGGATACTAAGGTATATTTCTGCCCGTTACACACGTTTCAATTAAGAGAAAAGCTTTTATATGCTGCTTTGATTTTATAACATTGATTACCAGATAGGAGAATAAACAAAAAATTGCTGAAAGCTGCTTTTTTAATAAAAACTGTGAAGCTGAATCATATTGTTTAATATTCTATAAAGAAACATGAGAAAATTACCAAAATATTTGTTGGAATAATACAAATAGAATTTTTAGAAAAATATAATTTTTAAATAATACCTACAAATATGATTGAACAGCGGAGCCTGGGTCAATTGTGACCCAAACATAATTTAAACTGAAATGTAAAATTTAGAAAACGAAAATGATATAAAATACAGAATTAAATTAAAATTAGGGCTCTCTTCATGGTCTAAGGATTGATAATATGTGCAAAAAATTAATATATTAATTTTTCATAAATATGAAATATGCATTCTAAAAACGTCGTGCAATATAATCTAACACAATTCCCCGTGAACTTCAACAGCTCATAAAATAGAGCCGCCTACAACGTCACAGTTCAGTCTCATTCTACGCAGGCTACATCCTGTATGTACTTATCCTCGTGTACATTCTTGTACGAACGTACATATGTACATACATATATGCGAATGTAGCTGAGAAAATATATTTTCACCATGACTCGTAAATTTCGTGCGGATAAACAGACGACTGTTTACAGGGTCGTGAGCTCGACAACGCGGTACAAATGTGAAATTCCTAGCTGCCTCGTTCCCGAATCATCTTCATCGCGAGTTTCAGCTTTCGAGCTAGTGTAAGCAAAAGAAAATTGTTTCACGTGAGAATCGACAACGAAACCGAAACACTCCCCCGCCTCCGCCCCTTTTCTGCAGTTATTTACCCGAGTGTGCTGACAGACGGGATCGTTTCAACCCCGTCGAACGTTGCTTCTAATTAATTGATATGGCGTTAATTATCGGATACAAAGAGTATTAATTTATTGTTCGTCTGGTTCATTGGACTGTTTGCGTAATTAGTTGGCTGCCACGCGACGCGTGAAAGCCATGCTGCGAATAATCAAGCAGCAGAGTGCAAGTACGAGCTTGTTACCGACATGCTACAGAAAATTTTCACTCCGTATTTAACCCTTTCACTTGGAAAATCATTCAATCAATTTATGTATCATAATTACCTAATTTAATAAATGAACGTAACTCAAATATTAAATATTACAATTCTAAAGAATAACAATGATTCTATATTAATTAAGTTTAAGATTTAATGAAAATCGTTTAATTATGACATATAGATATTAAGTGAATATTCATGAAATAATTATATAATGATACATTCGAGACCAAATCAGTCATTCTTAGAAAAAATAGTAATATGCTGTACTCACCCTCTTCGCCCCCTCCCTTAAACTTCCCGACCCCCTCTCCCCCCGTAGATCATGGTGTTTCCAAAATGCCGCGATTCTTCCCCTTCCCCCATAGACGGTCGCGCGGTGACTGACGCTGGAGGGGTGAAGGCCCCGTATACACCTAAGTCTGAGACCCCCCCACCACTTGCGCGAAAATGTCTGCGCAGGAGAATTTCAATTAGCCTTTACTTTGCTATTTGTACTTTTCAGTCATATACTAAATTTTATAATATTTAATGATTAAATATTATATTATTTTCTTTTCTAAATTATTTTTAATATTAATATTGTAAAAATTAAGAGTTTAAAAATTCTGCTTCCCGTATATCGCTATTTTTCCGAAGGAACAATGATCACGCATGTACACGGTACCCATGCGAACACGAGAATCATAGGATGATGTCGGTACGCGAAAGATATTAGTGCTTAGATTATCACAGCACGTAAACACAACCGATAGGATTATGCCATTTTGAGATCGATACAGACATGTCAATTTCGGATTCATTTGAATTGGATTTACCTCCAGATTCATGGTCGGACAGTCAGTCATCGGCTGCATCTCCTGGTTACCGTAATTATCTCTGCTAGAATCTCAATCAGGGATTCTCTGAGGATTACAAATGCGATGCACTTGTGACATATCTAATCGCTTGAAATATACATATACATGTATGTGTGTAGAAAATTGAAACATAACGTTTTCGATATAGAAAATGTATGAAATACATCAAATGCACTTGCATGTATATTATAAAATTTAATAATAAAAATTTCTTATTTAATTGTACGTATAATTTATTATTCCTAATTCAAAATGCAAAATTGTGACCTGATTCAAAGAAATGTATGAATGATGTGCATTTTAACAATACGTGAGGCCAAAGCATACGTACCTCTTAAACGTCAAATAAATTTCTCTTAAACATTATCTTCCGCTACATTAATAATTTATAAAACACCTTAAGCTACGGTGTTAGGTGCGTCATGCATGATTCATCCACGAGGAAAGCTTCTTCGCGAGGTTCCCTCTACAAAGGGTGCTTCGTCTAGGGTGAGATTAAAACGCGGCCAGGCTAATGATCCAAGAAAGCGAGAATTAAAATGAGAACCGAGAGAAAGGAAAATTAAAAGAGAAAAAAAAGAGCGCAATGATATTCTACGATTGTCTTCATCCGTTTTACTTCGAATAGCTGTCTCCCAAGTATCATGAGATTTTTTTATTAACCCTGCTATTCATATTCCGCGAAAAAGAGAAGACTCTTTTATTCATAATAAAAAGAAGAATAACCTTTTGTAGCAAAGAATAGTATAAACAAAAGAAAATTGAAATAGAAAAATAGTTTTGGGTTTAGAAAATGAAAATAAAAATATTTAAAATTAAATAATTATGTTTGAACAACCTACTGATTGAATGTTTAAAGAATTATTTGAAAGGATGATCAAGTGAAAAATGAGGAATCTGAACAATTCATCTCTGTCTCAATAAACGTTAACTTTCTAATGGAAACGAGCTTCACCGTAGTTCAATTAACCACTTTTCTCGCCGTCCTTTAATTAATTATCCTTGTTAATTTCCTATTTTTCTATTTCTTTCTTTACTATCAGTCACTCGTGTTTATTGTTCGCTTTCAATTTTATTATCTCTTTTCTTGCAGCGTCACTATGCGACATGGTCTTCAACAGTGACTCGACGAAAACGGGAGTAGTCACGTCGCCAGGATATCCGAATCCTTATCCACCGAGGACACACTGTACATACGATTTCCAAGGACGAGGCAAAGAACGGGTCCAAGTGGTGTTTCAGGATTTGAACTTGTACCATTCCCCAGACGGGACGAACGAGTAAGTTTCAGAAGATTTATCAAATATTTTCATAAGAGAAATTAATAAAAATATCGCTGTACATTTTATACTAATTTTTTGAAAATTAAAACAAAAATTTAACGCATCGTTAAATAAATAGGATGCATGGATTATACATAGTGAAATCTCTCCAAAAAAAAAGTCTCTCTAAAATCTCTTTTCCAACTTCAACACACTGTTCACCCTTAAGAGGACTCACCCCGTTGTGCAAACACTCATAACCACCACTTGCCTCTACCGACGTTCGTATTTCTAAAATCTTCACCTTTCAAACATCGTACGTTTCACTTCCATGCTGTCTCCGGAGAGAAATCATTTCTCCTGCTTATAATGTAAAAGGACACGGTAAAACCAACGAAACGAAATGAAAATTGATTGTAGAGAATAGAGCAAAGTACGCTTCTGTGAGAAAAATGGCGATATAGAGGAAGTAGAAATTCTCAAAATCTTATTTTCACGATGTTAATATTAAAAATGATTTAGAAAAAAATAATATATAATTAAAAAATATGAAAGCCTACTATGCTCGATACTGTACCTATCTAAAAAAAACTATAGTAATATTAAAATTGCTGTAAAATAAAAAATTATTTATAATTTGAAAATAATTTTACATCTTCTTCTCATTTTCACAGTCACTAAATAATTTAATTCAATCATTGCCTCATTGATACCGGCTGATTAAAAGAATCCTGACAACGATTGATTAATTAGAAGATATGAAGGGCGACGAACGCCTCAATGCTCGATAAAGTAGCTCAATTCACTTTTAATGGTACATTCTTCAATCACCAGTGGCAAATTTTAATTGATTGAATGAATGGAAAAGAGATTGAGAGTATAAAACACACGAACTTTTAAAGCTGAAAAGAAATATTCATCGATGCACATTGTATCGTCAAAGTTCGATATCTTATTGAAAACAATATTAGAGTATTAAACAGAATAAATAAAAGACTTATTAAATATGAAGTTTATTCCTGAAACTGCAATCTTGTAGCTAACAGCAAATATTTCGTTCTATCAATAAATATTTCACATTCTTTAATGAAATGAATCGATGAAGTACATCATTAAAAGCGTTAAATGATAAAAAAGAAACTGGGGATTTATGTGATATAAAGTTCCTTGGGAACTGAAAAAGTTGCTTGCAATTGTTACACGAGTTCTATTCTGAAACTCAATAATTTTCATCGAACGAAGCCTTAAAAAGAAGCTTCAATAAAGCGATGGAAACAAAGCTGGGTCGAGTAACGATACCCGGAAAGTTAATGAAACTCTACCTTAAAATAAAATGTACAGAATTAATGAAATGAACACTCGTTTCGCATTGCTTGGAGCGAGTTAAACTGAAATAAAGTTGCGAAGTTTAATCAATAAAAACAACGTAAGCTTCTGTTTACTTTCTCAAAAAATAGTTTTCCAATATTCTCTGTGTAGGTTTAGTTCGAAAAAAAAAAAGAAATATTGCAGCAATCTTTGCTTTTGGGCCAGTTTTCATTTTTTTCAAAATTAAGCACCGTTCAAATATAAACCGTGAATGAACGTGTAAAAAATTTGCTCTTTATTGAATCTTTTTGTCGTAAAGTTGACAAATTCATTTTGTAATAATATCATGGTTCATTTTCAAGCGGAGTGGTCGGGTCACAGAGGAAAAGTACAATTCATTTTGTCGCATATAATGTATGTAATACAATCTCTTTCGTGGCTCTCATTAGTAGTACGTGCTTACATTAAATGAATGAAAACGTTTCAGCAGTGTAAAAAACTGTTTAAAGTGTGGGAAAAGGGAAAAAAGTTCAACTGGTTATTCTAGAGATAATAACTCATTTTCGTGATAATTCCGCTCTGTTATTAACTGTTTTAACGATAAAAAAATTAATTTTATTTCTGATTTATTGTACTTGGATATTATTTAACTTTCACCAATGTGGAACATTATTCATAATAAATTAAAGTACTACATATTCATCATTACCTTTGTTTTTAAAGGAGGCTTCAGTTTATTCAAAAAAGATATAGAAATATTTATTGAAATATTATACTATTAATATTTGCCATTGTGTTTTAAGCAAATACAAATTTCTTCATAATAAAAATAGTATAATTAGCAGAATAAATTGCAATAAAAGATAAGTATATTATGAAAGAAAAATACAGGAAGATGTAATCACAGTAGCATCTGTTCAACCCTTATCTCCAATCTTTTTCTTTTTACTATTACACCTATACAAAGTCTCATGCATTCAAATTGCCTTTCTATGTACCCCTTCCTATTTATGATATCCTAGAATTCACCATTTTTTCCACATTTACAGTGCACACGATATTCGAGCACACAAGCTGATCAAAGTAGATGTAATTTATGCAATTCAAAGGAAGATGATTCTACATCTAAAAAGCAAATTATGGAATATTGTAGAATAATTTTGTTTGCAAAGGAAATTTAATTTCTGGGAAAAGAAGTAGGTAAGACTGATATTTTCAGATGCTAATCCAAAATGTGGTCTACAAAAATTCAAAAGAATTACGAACAATCACCATCGATGTTGTTGAAAGTTAGTTTATGGAGATAATAGGAAAGAGATCCTTGGGCGATCTGTGCGTGAACTATCCTTCAATGTGCAATCAAAAGACAGTGTAGAATTTGGCAACCACGATCCTGAGAGTTCTACTTCGCGTGCTTTCGAATACAATTTGCACGGAGTGCATCGAGTGGTGTACCCGAATTCCGCTATTAGTCTGCCGATTGATCGACCGGTTCGTTGCCGTTGTCCGACGACGAGAATCGGACGTTTCCGATCGGAATGCTGCTTGTCCTTGTGAAAAGCACGGGAACGGACAGTTGTGATCAATTTCACGTGTTCACGTGTGCACTGTCTCTGAACCGATTATTTGTATAGGGTGCACAAGGATTTTGTCGCGACATCCCCATTGGTGTAACTAGAATTTTTTTCGGAATGGATCAGGTCCTATGCTTTTACTAAAAGTGTCAACTTCCTAATCGCAATATTCTGGATTTTAAAATCATAATAAATGATTTAAAAATTAATGAATACATTCTATGTATGTAGAATTGGAATGCTGGTTGTTTAATGTTTAATCCTGTTCACAACGAGGATGGGCAACGAGAAATAATCGTGAAATAATGAAATTGTGGAAAAATTGAGCGGTCGAATGTATTTTCGCGATTTTAGAGGGATGCAAATCGCACATGGGAATATCTCTGTTCGTTCGTTTTCGTTCACCGGTATACATAGTTTGACGCGGATTTTAATCGCACGGAAATTTCAGCGGAACGTAATTAAAGAATGTAAATAGACAGTGCACACCGATTCGATGTTGATACGGTTGTTTTAACGATAAATCTCGGCTTTCCATTACACATTTCATTTAATGTTGCCGGGCGATGAAAAGATACGGATTCATTATTTCGTTTCTGTGGATTTTGAAATCAAGATCCGATTTCTGGATTAAAATGGTAATGCGAGATATAAAGCTACTTTTTACTTTTCAACGAAAATTAATTTTTCATTGGAAAATTGATTATCATTAAATTTTGGAACCCGAATTCTAACACTTTGATGGCCACGCATTTTTATATTTCTTCAAGACGTTTTACTTCAAAATTTTTCTAAGGGACTTGTCAAATGTTCAAGGTTTCGTTTTCAAAGGGTAGCATAAATCAAGATACTCGGTCTAACCACGGTATTTGGAGAATCTCTCTATAATGCAACGCTTTCCTGACAACATAGCAATTGCGATTGGTCATCTCCTCGTTCATTTTCCACGTGCCTGGCCTTAAACGCTGTTTAATTGCCGCTGGCACGTTTCATCGTGCGGTTGCTCGAGTAATGTTTCTCTGGACACGTAATTGTTCCTGCTACGTTTCCGCAAAATCGAGATAATCATGCGTAACAACATCGTCCCCGTGAAACTAGTACTGTTTGACAAATAACAAAAATGAACCCATGGTTCATAACATCGAAATTTAGAAGTTTTAATGAAATTTAATTAATGCCTATTTTATTTATTTAGGGTTTTGAAATAGATTTATTCCAAAAATGTCAAACTCATTGAAAATCTTGTATTAAATTGAATCATTCGAGCTGGATGCAGAAAATCAGTAAGAACTGCACGCGATCAATTGAATTTGACTTGGAATAGGAAATGCAATTCTTTAGGATTTGGGAAATGGTAGCGCGGATAAAATGGGGCAGAGTTGAAGAAACTTTGATCGAGAATGCAAAAGTCAGGATGATTTTGATACAGGATTCGTGGAATAAAAATGAACGATACACTATCTCCTAGCAAGACAATTTTTCAGAAAAGAAGAATTTCACTGAATCTAAATAAGACGAATACTAATGTCAGCAGACGAATTGTTCGAGGAAGTAGAGTAGAATGAAATAGAAGATTCATACGTGATGATTCCTCATTTACACGATGAATTTATGGAGCTAAATCTCTCCCTCTAAAAGCTTTCCATTCAATAGTAACTTCCTCAAAAGTCACGTGCAACGTCAAGTCAGTTCAAAATTTGAACTATCTCCTTAAAGGTGACAGTTAACGAAGTCTAGCTGGATCTACGACAATAGTTAGTTAAGTCGAGGATATTAGATTAAATCTGGGTTCATATACAGTAAGGAGAAGAAAATTAGATAATTCATTTCATACTAACGTATGGAAGTTTCCATTTCTATCTCCTAGGAAATCTGTTGAAGTAAATTTTCCTTGATTCAAAATTATCTGGTACTCGCCCACCCTTAATTAGCTCCATCAATTTTAATAAATCACTTTTAAATTTTCAATTAATTTTTTTTCTAGAAAACCATCCCGTGACTAATTATATCATTATCCCAATTTCACTCTCTGTAACACTCATTTATTACCTGTGAATTTGAGATACACTAGAAAAATTTTGATTTAAAGAAAATAACTAAAAAAGCTACTTCAAGTGCTGTGTTGCTTTACACGGTTGCTCTATACTCTATGCACACAGCACGCGTAGCGAAAACGCATTCAAATGCAGCAGGAGATTTCAGTGAATAGTTACGTGGGGAGGCCGCGACCGACATCTGATTTTCCTGGCCAGTTTCCTTCCAATCACCCGAGTGGATTGGTCGAAATTTTCCTCGAGCGTCACACACGTAACATCCGTGCACTCAACCGGTATTCATTCCAGGCACATAGACACGGTTATTCGCGAACATAACGTTACACGAGCGAACAGGCAATAATATTCTTTATGTCGATTCGTTCGTGCGATTGGTTGCTCGAAAATTGTACGTTCGTTCGTTAACGGGTGACCGCAAAGTGTCAGATTATGGGAACGAATAACCCAGAAAATAATTCGACACCGACGTGAAAATATATATTTAACGAAAATTGTCTAGAAAATATTTTGTTTTCAAGCAACATAGAGAATCATTTATTGATAGAATTTGAATGTTTTAAACGAAGGCTGACCGTAATGCACGTCTTAAGAAGTTTATATTACAAAAAGTATAAGCATTTCCATTCGCTAATGCACAGTGCAGGAAGTTCATCTCGAAAATCAAATAACCCCATCGTCCCAGTTTCAACCTTTCCGAAAGTTTCCAAACTTCTACCCGGTCGCTTCTCTCTGCAATTTTTAACGGGGCCTGAAAAAAAGTCTCCATTAATTTTAGAACAAAGTTCCTAGCCTGGGCCCTCTGAGCGGAACATCCAGCATCAAGAGCGCAATATTTCTGGCGTCGAAAAAACCGACGACCAGAGAGATGCTGGAAAAACGAGATACAAGAGGAGAGAAGATAATGAGGGAAAGAAATGAAGAACAATGAGAAGAATAAAACGGTCAGGAATTTTTAACACTTTGATGTCGTGTACTTGTTAATGCATCGACTTTTACATTATTTGCATTTATTATATCTGGACGAATTATATTTGGAAAAGTGGTGATTTCATAATGGGACACGTTCAAGATTTAATTATTAACGATACGATAATACGATAGAAATGTAAAATGATAAAGGTAGTAAATTCTGTAAAATGTGCAGCCATCGAAGTGTTAAAAAATGCAAATCAAAGGCAACTGAAGAATGTCAGAAGTGCCTTCCTGTTATCGCCGGAAGTTAGCATCGCGGATGGGTGTTGAATATAAAATTGAAGAAGGCCAGCGTGTCGAATGGAAAATGCATCTTGATTTCTGTGTTTCTAACGGGAAGTGAAATCAGCAGCGAATGGAAATAGACGATGGTCCCTTAGGTGTGCCACCTTTTGTCGACGAGATGAAAAGTTTTCCCATTGAATATGTTACACGCCATGCGAGAAACGATTCGACTAGACGGAAAGAAACAGACGTGTCGAGGGTCGAACCTTCGCAAGAGACCAGTAACTTTTTTTACTTTTCTTTTTTATGCGACGTGGTTCCCTGGTCCAAGACTTTTGCATAAGAATGCACTGATGAAAGCCTTTATCGAAAAAAATAAAATATTCCTATTTATTAAAATAGCACTAAGAATATTTAAACAATTCAGACACTTTTCTCTCCAATCGATACAACCCCTTAAGAACTTTTTTAGTTTTCAATCGACAGGAAGAAATAAATAAAAAAAGAGAAAAGGCGCGATCATCTGTGGAATTATTTGAATTTAACGTCGTTAATTAATGCACCCCTGATGCTCATTACGCGCATACAAATCGCGTCGTTGAGAAGGGTAGAAAGCTGTGAATAATTTCTACTACGCGATATATATCTTTGAATGCACTCGTTCTAACGACATGATAAATTCCCCGTCCCTAAAGGAACTTATACATCTTTTGTATCGTCGTTTTTGCCCGGGAACCCGGCATTGCGCAACATTCGTACTTATTATAGTCGGTTCAACGATCCCGGTGGCGAGAGAAAATATTAGTGGTTCCTCGGGATACGACTGAAACATTTCTGCCTTCCTGTTTCGTTGCGATCACTAGACCGTTTTACTTTAACGAACTCATCGTTCGGTGAGTTAACATTAATATTGACCCCCCTCCTTTGTTAGCAGAATTCTCATCTCGATCGATAAACCAATTGCTGATTATGCACCAATTTGTATTATTATCTATTCACGTCGGAATCGGAGAAAATTTGAAATTAGTTCAAAGAAATATTAAAAATTGAAATATATACTCGAAAGCATTATGTATTTAATAATTATTTCGTTCAATGTCTATATTATAGGATAATTTAATTATTAAATTAGGTTTGGCTTCTTCATTCTCAAATTGAAACTAAATAACAAATGAATCATTGACAGGTTTGATATATACCAGTGTTAAAGGTTAAAAAAGATTGAAGTACACTTCAAAGAGTTTGCAAAGCAAGGCGACAACGTGTCAAGAGTGTCAAATGTTCTACGTTAAAAGACATCTAACTAGAAAAGCTTGTGAACACTTTGACGATCACACGTTTCATAGACTTTACAACTCTTTTATTTTCACGACCCTTCTCCCATTTAAACAATACTACTGATAGGAATAATGGGAAAACTAATAAAGTATATAATTGAGAATATGAATAATAAATAGATATAAATTCAAATTTTTCGACCAACACTCGATCTTTTAAAGCGACCTCCGTGTTCTGCTCGTCTATTTTCGCGAATGTATACGGCTGGCACAGAACCGAACTCGGCATTGCGAATGCATATGAAAAAGATCGATCGAACAACGCGAACGTTCTGTTTCGGCAACGTATCGAAAAGCAATTTGTATCCAGACCTCTGTTGGAGTACTTTAAAATATTGCTGCTGTTTACACTTGTTCTGACGCGATGGCGAGGGTATTTCTCGTGGAAATCAGGAGTTCACGACACGCACGAAACGCGAAAAAGATCGAACTTTATCAATTAAAGCTGCCACGCTCGTTTCTATCTGGAACTTCGTGCAATAGGTCGAGTTTTATACGATACGAGGAAAGTACCAAACAAAATTAAAGAAAACTTTTATTTCTAATGGAAAATAACTGTTTAATGTTTCTCTTGTATTACTGATTAATGTTCATTAAATGGAATTTAAAATAAAAACTTTTAGTATAAAGTATTTTCTAAGGGAATGGTGAGGGTTCAGAAACATGGATGTGGAAAATCGTGTTCTGGAAAATCGCTAGAAATAAAAGGACATAAAACAGACACCTTTTCCTAGATCACTATTGTAACTTGCAGACGTGCAATTCAGGTTAGTTGCACATGTTCCTAATTTTGGGAAAGCGGTACCCAGAAGTGCTAAAACCCATTACCGATCCGATATACTCGAATCCTGTGTATCAAAGCCACGACTTTGTACCTCTGCTAGAACCTAATTAAAATTTGGAATTCTATTAATTGATGCTAATGAAAGTAAAGTCAATCAATCCGTGTAATTAGAAGCTTCAGAAATACACACGTGAATAATAAATGCATTGACAATAATTAGGAATGTATAAAGAAAAAGAATTCTAAATGAAATTTAATTTTAATTCGGGTAGTATGTAAAAAATTTTGTTATTAAAATACCCAATAGAAATACCAAATTCCCACAGTTATATTTTTCAATTAACCCAGCCAGAAAGTGAAACGTTTCGCTTATGGAACGAACGCGAGTTACTTTGCGTTTAAAAGAATTTTTCTCCTGTGCGACCCTCGAGTTCAGCGAAGCGAAATGCGACAAGAACATCGTTGACACTTCTGAAACATATATATATATTTTTTTTAATATAATTTCAGGTGCGAAGGCGTGGATTCGTTAGTGGCGTACGTGCACATAGATAGGAAAAAAGAGAAAATAGATGCTTTCTGCGGCGAGAAACCGTCACGGCCTATCATGAGTAACGGACCACGGCTTTCCTTGGAATTTCACGGCAGCACGTCGTCCCGCCACTCCAGAGGTTTCAAGGCGGTGTACTCTTTCACAGAAAGTGAGTAGAACGATCTTCTTTCTCTTAAATTCAACGTCTTTTTTGTTAAATGTTACGAAACATGTAGCCTCAATTATATTTACTACGACAGCTGTTTCGTGTCGGAAACTTCATGCTCTTATGTAGCGAAGTGGTTCATGTAGAGAATCGAAGTATTTTTTAAGAATACTCTTTACTAATGATAAAATGCTAGTCATTAAATCAGAAGAAATGATTTTGATAAAGAATTAACAATTCGTTTAATCGCAAGAATTGCTTCGTATTGCGGTACCTCTGTCTGTCAGGAATTTTAATTGAGTCGTGTAATTACGTTTTACATCCAGCTAGAAAATCGTAGAATTTAATGTTTGCATTTTGTGCAACAGATTTCGTTCAATAATGAGTTTCTGGGTAAATATATACATATAATTTGATGTAATTATACAAGTCATAATGGTTGTATAAAGTAATGAAAAATATTTTAATGATCGTTGGATAATTAACACAGGAATCCAATTCAGAAACTCATATAAATTTCTATCTACATTCCTATCTTCATCAGATAAACTGATGAATATTTTCTAATAATTTCTAATGGGAGGTTCAGGTCCATTTAGACCTGCAGCCAGTTGCTCTAATGCTCTGCACGTTCTTTCTACTCTCATCTCTTCTCGTTCGCTATCTTTCGTCTAGTAAATTTTGCTATTGTCAGTAGCATAAATCGGTTCGATGGTGGCCCGGGTAAAGATACACGATACGCATCATTGGGAATAAGTTATTGGCATAGGACGTGTTCGAGACGTAACATCGGAACATGACGTACGATCTTCTATACGCGTTCTACGTCTGCCTCGTACAGAGTCCGGCCCTTTCTACGGTGCGCCTATGTCCCGTCAAAATTTCAATTTCCGTTGAGCATTCTATCGTGATAGCAATGTGTCTCTCTTCGTGCGGCCGTTTATCATCCGCAGCCGAGCTTCAGATTGCACGGTACACGCCGGAATGCCCAGGCTGCAGAACAAATGGATCGCGAAGTGTGTTTGTCTTTCGCTCGGTGAAAGATTCACCGTCCTCCGCGTTCCACCGAACTTGAAATTCGTTCTTTCCAACAACGCAGCTTTCATCCACGTATTTGAATATACGACCAAATGATCGAAGAAACTATTAACTTGTCCCATAAATAACACAGATACTTCAGGCTCTCAATCAAATTTTTTCTAATTTAAATTTGGTCACTTCATAAATTGCCATCGAAAATAGTAACACTACCACCGTGTAAAAAAGGCACAGGGAGAAAGAGAGATAGGCTAGAAAGTGGATGCTACTTTGATATTCAAAGTTTCCACAGATAACATTCATAATATAAGGAAAGAAGGGGAGCTCGACAAATCTCCAGTGTTAATTCTTTGAGAAATGTCGTCATGTTCCAGATAAGAAATTCGAAATAAAAGTTTCATTGCTTGTTAAGAAGATAAAATGTTTCTCTTCCTATCCAGAGGGAAGTTTGACTTAAATTAAGAGTAAGTGAGCTCACTAAAATTCTTGTTGCAAAAAGTATACTACCTGTCTAAAAGTGTACTCTAATTTTCTTGAATAAAACACCACATAAATTTCTGCATCGTTATACGTTTCATTTCAACTGTTTTAACAAATGGAATTTATTCCTAATTTTATCAAATTTAGTTTCGATAGAATAGGCAAAATTTATCTAAAGTGTACCTACAGTGAAGCGCAGTATTATTATATATAATTCCCATCGAAATCGAAGCCTCTACCCCAATCAATGCTGGTAATATTTCATTTGCTCATCCGCAAAACCTCAAATAGGTCATTGCATCGAATAATTACGATCGTTTAATTGTACGGATTCCAGCAATGTTCGACGTTCTTTTCAGCTATCAAAGGAAGATCGAAAGTTAGCCTTTCGATCGGGACCTAATCAAAAAGGCAGACCGATTCTGTGTTAATTTTATAACAGATAAGTTTGCCACGTTAGCTCTAACGCGAGCTCTGTCTGTCGCTTGTGTAAGTGGTGTATTGTTCGTGCAAGTTCCGTGAAGTAGACGCGAGGCTGCTATTATCGCGTAATTGAAACGCGAACAAACGGATTTCTAGCCATTCAGAAGGACAGAAAGAGAATCTCGCGGTGCCGAAGTTCTTCGTTCGAGCAGAGTCAACCAGACTCCTAGGAAGCTAAGAGAAACGAAGCACGGCTAACGATAAAAAGTTTCGCTTTAATTGCTATGGTAGGATATCCTCTCCAGGAAACTTCAAAGCTGGATATCGTCTGTGAAAAAGCCGTACGCGCTCGACCCGTTCATAACCGAGGTATTTCGAGGTATTTCCAAGACACCGCCCCCGTTCGTCCCTCAAATCAAGAGCCATTAAGTTTCTTCGTCTTCGAGTATCCGATGAGTAAACTTTTCCCCTGGCAATTGCGTGCTCTGACAAACTGATTACACAAGGAGATGATTAATTTTGAACTTTCACAAAAACAGAACACTTCCAGGCATATCAACATTGAATATTACACATTTCGATATTAAAATATTTTAATATGCCTCCACCCAAAATTCGATAAAATTCCTAACCCGAATTTTTAGGTACCCGCACACCTCTAATTTCAATTTATTTAATTGGAAAAGGATAAATATCTTATAGGAGCACATGAATGTACGAAGAATACTAAGAATTCTCTGAAATCTCGTATTTCGCTTCTCCCAAATATTAGGACCAGCTGGCGAAGATGCTTTCACGTATGCAGATAGATATATAGTGATACATCAACTTCACCAGTTATACCGGAAATATTACATCGGAAGTGTGGCGAAGTTTGGAAGCGAAATACGTCAGGTTACATTAAAATGTTACCGCGGATATGGGCGCAAGTTTTGAGCATTTGACACGGCTGTACGACACCCCGGCACATCTATGGAAATTGTAGAAGGTGTCTCATAATATTTGGAATTTTAAACATTCATATGAAAATATCTACATATGTCTTGTTTAATCTTATTCACGAAAAATGAAGATTTAGATAAATATTCATTTCCTATTTATTAACCTGGAAATTTTTGATAAAATTAATGAAAAATTTTTAAATTCCTATAACCATCCTACATGCACTTAGAGGTTTTCCTCATTCGTGCACCCCATGGATCAATATGTTTACGAGTATCGGTAAGAGCAGCATTGTTTTCGAAGCGGTTGGCATACTTATGGAGGTTCGTAAACCCGTTAGAGCGTATAGCCGAGGAGTTGGCGGAAAAACGTCTGAAAGAATATGCCGTCGTCCTGCATCCACTTTCTCTCCCCACTATCGACTGCTATCTAACTCAACCGATCGAAGTATGAAAGTTTCGCGTCGATTTCGCCCGACATCGGTCGCCAACGTCCTCGTTGTCCTCCTCGTCCTGCCGGTCGTTTGCTCGTCCCTGTTCAGGGATTCAACGGGTGTGAAGCCTGCATACCGACGACTTCGCTCGCCCCCAACCCCGCTGTTCATCCCCTTTGAAAATGACTCATTCCTGTCCCGACACGACGACGTCCGCGTCGACAGGAATGCGGAATATATCGTCGATCAGATAGGTGAAATGGAGTTTCCCGTTGACGAGAACAGGGAAACGCGCCACGACTTCTGCGACTCTGACCTCGTCACAGAGGATTATACGACGCGATTTGCGTTTGCAAGCGGGTTTTCGGGAAAGGAACGTTACTTGGCTAGAAAGGGAGACGCTGGTGGCTCCTTTCATACGCTTGGAAAGCAGCTCCGATCGAATGATAATAAATGTCTGCGCGACGTTATACACCGGCGATGGTAAAAATCAGTCAAGAGGGGGAAGAAGGTTTATTTACGCGTCGACGAGTAACTTGACACGGCGTAAAGATTTCCACCAATCGCAAGATTATTATTAAAAAATTTATTTCGCAAAAAAAAATAATCATTCAATACCTTTCTTAACGTTCCTTTTACTTGGAGAAGAAAAAGGGTTCTGTCGTTCGAATTGCTGAACCGGAATAGGAACCCGCATCTCTCGTCTACCCGAAGACAGCTTTAATCAATTAAGTTATCCAACCAACCGACAGAATCCTTTCTTTTGCCGAATCGTCGTAATCGAAACGATTGTCGCTAATTTTAATCCAAATTAACGGCCGACTATTTCGGCCTGTGTTCATAAAATCACATGGTCCGCCGACGAATTAATTAACTCCCAATTATCGGGATATACGAACCGCTTTCGACGCTAACAATGAGAAGTATCTATTCGCAGTTTCAAATATTCGCGTCACAAGGGAGCACAGCAGCGTGCTATTGAAGCTTTCTAAAGCGGTAATTGAAATCATAACTGTACGTTCAAAGGTGTATACAGTGTGAGTTATCTAGGAATATAAATTGAAATATCTTCAAAATTTCAATAGTGTTAAGGGAAACTTAATTTGACCTAATTAGTTTTTTAAATGGAATTATACGTAGTTCAATACACCAATAGATTCATTTTTCCATTTCCTATTAAAAAGTATTGAGCTACTTGTACCAAAAAATGATTAGTTTAGGAGATATTTCAATTTCAGTATTTCTAAGTAGTATAGGTCAATCGAATATCAGACATACACACTGTAAATCATCCAACGATCAGTATATTGTAATTACAAGCAACTAGGCAATTTTAAATGGATTAAAAGATCGATGATAAAATACCTGAAGACTTATATTGAAAAAAAGATGGCCACTTCAACCAACGGGCATACATTATGGAACAGCCTGTACATAATAATCATTTAAAGAGGAAACGGTTCGAATGGTCGTTTCGCAATTTCGCGCGAATTATTCCGCGCGAGTAACGAAACGAACTGGCGGAATCGTTATCGTTGATTACAATTGCAAAGTCGGAAAGCAGGCAAGCAAAGAGGTAAAAGGAAGGAAGGACGGAAGGAAGGAAGGAAGGAAGGAAGGAAACGAAGGGCATCTCTGTGCAGGAACTCGGTTACACACACTGCCAAACGAACGGTAGCTTCGAATC